CAGGAATGGTCTCTTGACTTTGTAGATTCATATTTTTCTCGTAGAGGCCAGAGTTAACTTCCAGAGAGCTAAAGCTTCCTGGGTTGTGTGCAGTGACCTGTTTGGTCTCTCTCCAGGTTCCTCGTACACAAACACACCTTCGTCTCATGCTCAGCCCCCTTGATCCAAAATAATACAATTGCACAGAGTTCTGGCTGGTGGTTTAATCTCAACAGTTGTGGATCGGGTGTGTATAAAATAAAATGAAAAACCACCACCCCCCTCCCCAAAAGATTTCCTTGGAAGGAACAGCTTGGTCTTTGTGAGGAGCTGAGAAAGCATCCGACTCTGACACCGTTGCCTTACGGGACCTCACTCAGCCTAGGTTGCATAAAAGGGCTTTATAGGATTATAAAGGTTCCATGCAGCGGCAGCTCCAAGGCAGCATTTCAGGTGGGGGCACCGGCTCTCCCTGGCTCTGCCTGTGCTTGTTTATTATTGATGCCACGCTCTGAAAAGTGCCACCTCACCCTTCTTCCCAAGGGCTGCTGGAACACATCTGCAGAGCTAAGGCTGCTGCATCGGTCCCCCCCGCCGCTGGAATGGGCACACATCCAGCACTGGGGAGGGAAAATATACGTGTGCATGCATGTGTGCCGCTTTCGCTCATGGAGGTCTTCACTTGGAAGAGCTCCATTGCTTGTTGGCTAGGAAAAGTCCCTTTCCCCTTAAATGTACTCCTTGTCTTGTTCTGGAGATGCTTTCCTAAATTCCCTTGCTTCGCTCTGATGCAGACCAACTGGAAAGCCGGCGACATTAGTCGGAGCGATAAGCCAGGCAGTGATGGACACGTCTGCGTTCAGCGTGCGTGTTGCGCGACTTGTTTTTCACCAGTTTGGATTTTCATGTCCCCTTTTCTCTAATGGGTGAGGACAGGGCAGAGCTGGGTCAGGCAACAGGAGGTGGGAAAAGGTGTTCTTCTGCCTTCCCTGTAAGAATGCTGTGTTGGTGTCTCGGGAAGGGGTGAAATGGGTCTCTGCGTGCTGGCCCAGCTTTCTCAGCTCACCGTGGCTGTTAACCACGTGATGCAGATATCAGAGCTGGTGAACTTCTACCCAAGCTTTTTGCACAGAGCAGTGAAAATGAACTCTGCTGCCTATTGGTCCATTTAATGCTTCAATTTTCTATCGTTTCCCAGGACTTCGCATCCACTAGTTCTAAGTGGCTGCGGGAAGCCTGTCCTCTGGCTTTGCCCAGCACCACGAATCCCATTTTCTACCTTTTCCCTATCCCTGCCTCTTTATTGTGTTTTTATTTAGGTGACTCTCATTGGGACCCACTTTGGAGGTACCGTGCAATTGGGCTGTCCTACCAGCAATTACACTTTGAAGTATCTCAAAGCCAAGCACCCTAAGGGCGAGGGGGGTGGGGAAGGGGTTCAAATTCACCAATTGCTCTGCAGAAATCTTGGCCGTAGGATCAATTCCTGCGTCCCTCCTCGCTGCGATAGCCATCTGCTACATGATACTTGGAGCTTATGTTTTCCAGAACATTTAGCTGAACAGTACCTGCTCAGTTGGAAAGGTAAACTGGGCATGGGGAGCTGTAGAAAATGCTTTTATGCCTCCCTCTCTCTCCTTTGCCAGCTGAGGATATCTCTTGCGCCAACTGTGAAAGCTTGCAGGAATGAACCATCAGAGCAGAAGTATTGAGGAAGGCCAGGAACAAATGTCCTGGAGATTGTCTTTATTACTGTGAAGCTCAGACCAAGCCACCATCCTCATGAACAAGCCTGCTTGGAGCTCTGGTTAATAAGGCACCAGGGCTGGGTGATGTCCCATCTCCTTGGGCAGCATTCAAGCTTAAGTCCACACTCTATCCCAGTCCAGACAGAGCAAAAATGTAAGGGTTAACATTTGTCAGTGCTTCAGGTGGAGCTTGCTCTTTGGCCTTTTGGGTGTTTTTATCATTTTAGGGGAGCAGAATTTGGGGAAAAAAGCTATTTTTTTTGACACTTACGCTGATTACGTTAGCTTTCCGTGTTTCCCGCAAATCACTCTGACTTCATTTTTACTATTGCAGATTTTTTTCTTGAAATCCTAATACTTTTGGAGGTAACTGAAGGAGAACGTTTCCCTGCTTGTATCTATTCTCCTAAAAAAAAAACCCCAAATCCCAACAAAACCCAACCAAACCCAGCAATTTTTTTTCGTCATCTCGTTAAATCATCAGTAATGACTGGATCTGTATGGGATGTTGCTGGCTGTGGCTCAGCTCAGGATTTTGTGCCCATCGTGCCAAGGAGGTTTGGGAGTTCAAGCATCCTAGCTGCTCGCCCTCTGGGGCTGCGCTCCTGGCACAATGCATCCCACTGATTAGAGAGAAATCCTCATTAAAAAAAAGAAGCAACAAACCACTGCTCCTGTAGGACAGATGGGGTCTTAAAGGGTTTCCAGGATCCATCTGCATTTGGCGAAGGGGGGTGAGCGTGTGCTCCCTCCCGTGCCCAATTACCCCGGCGGTCCTGCACTGATGGGGATGTCTGAGCCTGTGAGCTGCCCTCGCCTGTGCAGGATTGCGACGTTCCAGCATGTTTTCAATTCTGGCTTTGAGCAATTCTTCCTTTTTGGCTGGGGGAACGCGTGTTCAGGTCCCTCAAAACCCTACATAGTGATTCCCATTGACTGCGTGGACTGGCACCTGGCCGGAAAAGGGCAGAGCCAGGAGAATGGGGTGCGGGCAGCTTGGCCAACAAACCGCTCATGAGCCCAGCAGATGTTCCTGCAGCCTCTCTGCTCCCCGGGGCCGATGCCAGCCTGGTCCTTTTCCAGCAGCTCGTCACTTGACACCGGGAACAGTACGCTGGCTTCTTTTGTTGCACATTGTACGAGTCAAGGACCTTGTGCTCGGAGAAGGCAACGGGACACGTATTTCTTCAGGTCTTTTTTTTTTTTTTTTAGGTTTTCAGCTTGTTCTCCCTTGTAAAAGCTTTTGGCAGAGTGGCCTGAAAGCATATCCTTGCTCTCAAGCCTCAGGCTGTGGCTTTCTGGGTTTTATGCAAGGATCTCTTCTGCTGAGGGCAGGGTGGCTGTACGTGCTTTCTCGGTGTGTCGTTTGGGGTCTGGTGGGACGAATCATCCTCTATCCCTTCCCAAGCCAGTTTTGGCTCTGCTTGATGTGCTAAAATGATTTTTTTGTTTGTTTGTTCATGCACAGGAGAGTGACCGTAGTGCTCTTGTGTTTTTGCTAGTTTCCCAAGTTCATGAAGTTAGGTACCTTCGATTATTTCTTCCCTATTTCAGTTTTCAACACAGTCCTGTGGTGGAGGTTGCCGAGGTCTGATGTCCAAACAAGCTCTGTGAAAGCTGGTAGAGGACATAAATCCAAATATTGCTTCTTAGCCTTCTCTTCTTGCTCCCACCTTGCACACACACTGCGGAGGGAGCCTTGCTGTGAAATCTTTCCTTGCCCAGGCATCTGCAAGTCCACGTGGGTGCTCAGCCGGGGAGAGCCCGATCCCACCACTGCCCCCGTTTCTACCGTGGGCTGTATCTCTCTGTCCTCACCACCGTGCCCCTCTCTTCCTCTGCAGGCTGACGGGGAACGAACCCCTGACCATCCTCCCTCTGACCTCAGAAATGGAGGAAGCTGCCGTCAAAGCCCACTACAAAGTCTGTGACCGCCTGAAGCTGGAGAAGAAGCAGCGCAGGATGTGCCGGCGGGACCCTGGTGTGGCCGAGACCCTGATGGAGGCGATCAGCATGAGCGCGCTGGAGTGCCAGTACCAGTTTCGCTTCGAGCGCTGGAACTGCACCCTCGAGGGTCGCTACCGGGCCAGCTTGCTGAAGAGAGGTGAGAGGAGTGGGGGAGTCTCGATTAGGGGTTCTGGCACCCCCTGCACCCATCGGCTTCCCTGGCATTTTGCAGAGTGCCCTTCCCAGTGCATCCTTTGCCAGGAGGTGGGTCACCACCTCCCCTGGGGTCCAAAAAGAGCGTGTAGAAGGTAAAGACAAAGCCGGGCTCAGCTCACCCCTGAAAGTGCACAGCAAGCAAAGGGTGTGCTGTGTAGCAGAGATTTATGGGCTTGTGCTGGTGCAGGAACCCCTCTCCGCCTCCCATTGCAGGCCATGGCTCATGCCCTTGGAGGCTGGGGGTGTTTGTGCGTGTGTCTGCAGCCCGTAGCTATGGTTGCTCCTCGCTTCTGGAAGTTAAGCTGTTGCTGGAGGGAAAGGTGTTGAAGTTCCCAAAGCCATCCCCTCTTTTTTTTTATTTTTTTTTATTTTTTTTTCCTATTCATTATGTCAACCTCTCAGGAAAGAAATTGAGAGAACGCCTTGTTAAGGGAAATAAGGCAAAACGGACTGTTCTGTGCTGCCCTGTTAGTGGGGGCAAGGGGAGCCCTATCATAGTGCAGGGCAAAACCTGCAAAGGTTTGTGTGTCCTGTTACTGCTTTACCCAGGGAAAAGCTCCCTGGATGTGACCGGTGAGTAATTCCCACGCTCCTTCCCAGCAGCTCAGAAGATGATTGGAAGCTGAAAGGGAATATTCAAGGAGCTCTTGGTATTTTTACCTCTTTCCTCTGTGCTACCTCATCCCGTCCAGTTTCCTGCACCCTCCTAGTAAAACCCAGTTCTTATTTCTGGACCAAAGCTAACGATGTAGCAGGACCATTTTACAGATAGCTTGCATGGGTCTCAAGGGCTTTAGTGACTTCCAGAAAGTCCCACACTCAGCGACAGAGCTGGACCGAGAAACCCAGGGTCCAATGTGCTCAAAGATAAGAGCAGAGGTTTGCAAAGCTCCCTGCCTCGCTAATTAATGAGAAGGAGTAATTCAGAAGCGCTGGGGCTTAACTAATGCACTGTCACTGACTGCGGTGGAAACAAGGAAAGTCCTGATGAAACCCAAGAGGTCCAACCAGAGCTCCAAGACATTTAAAAATATCCCTGCATGCCAGAGGAGTCCCTGGATTAGTGGCGCCTTGGGGAAAGCCACGCACTTTCTCATGCTGACACCTGGAGGCCACAGCTTGTTCCTTCAGATGTTCCTGCCCCCGTGGGCAGCCCTTGGCAAGGGGTGTTTCAAAGCAGCTTGAAGTTGAGCTGCCTCAAAACACCACCGAGACCCCCCCCTCTCGCCTCCCTTGTCAGGACCCTGGGTAATAAATGGTAGCTCTGAGGGTTGCAAGGCTCTGCCTGCTGTCTCATTTTTCCAGTGTTTTATGCCCCTGCAACATCCTTGCTCTCCACCGATGCTGTAAATCCTTCAGATGTTGTTCCTGCGGCATAGCACACCGCCCTGTAAATCTTCCTCCTCCTCTCCGGGAGCTGCTGGTTCCTGGTTCAGCATTGCAGCAAGTGATACCCCAGGGCAAAGGGGCACATGTATCACCCACTGAGAGACAACTATTTAAATACATCGTTGTGGGCTTGCTTCCTCTCCTCCAGGACCATTGCAACTTTTTAAGGAGATGGGGGAAAAAAAAAAAAAAATAGGCAACCCCCCCCATATTTCGCTCAAGAAAAGTTTCTCCCTCCATTTTCACACTTGGTCAGCAGAACAGCCTGGCTGCTGGTTTGCAACTTGGGCTGATCCAGCCCGTTTCTTAAAATAACAGGGGATTGTTTAAGGGACTTGTTATCCTCTTCGGATACTCGCGAACAATTTTGGAAATGGCTGAAACTGGATAGCCACGGACGGCAGGCTGTCGATGCACTGGGGGTTAGAATGCCTGCATTGATTTAAAGCTCATTATCTTGTTACAAAATATCTTGGTGCAATCAAATAGTGCATGGCGGAGATGGCTTTAAATCTGGCCAGAGCCAAATGTCACATGGACTTGCTTGGAAGCCGCCTGAGCTGCCTGCGGGTGAGATGATACCCGTGCTGATGGGCACCGGGAATTTGTGAGGCTTTCAGTGATGGAGAATGGGGGGGAGCAGAGCTGAAGCTGATGGTGAGATTGATGGCGAGGGAGAACCTGGCAAATGAACTGTTCCTCCTGGCTTTCTGTCAATCCTGGTATGCGTTGTGGTTGTGTGGCACTGAATTTCTGCTGAGATTTTGTAACCACTCTGAATTCAGTGCTTTAAACCAGGAGGTTGTAGATCTGGGCTATCTACGAAGCTGGACCACATCCAGGCTTTTTGTGGCCCGTTGCAGCATCTCAGACTCAGAGGGGATTTTCCATGCCCTGTTCCATCGAGGGCCTTCTGTTAGCACACTGGTACCTCTCCATATCATAACACAAGTAGTTGTGGTGGCAAGAGGCCAATTCTACAACCCAGGATTGCAGAGGCTTGGGAGCATCTCTCTCTAGCAGTGGCATCCCTCTGACAGGCCTGTGGGCAGTCTGACCTAGGGTGTAGCCTAGGAAAAGCTGAACCAGCCTGGAAAAGATGAAAACTGCATTTTCTACCCAGAGGAGTTCAGTGGCCTGCACACCCATGAGTGTTTGTTGTGTGAATTAAGCAAAAAATTCTCCCACCACTCCCAATGAGAGAGTTTGCAATGCTGAAGATGTTTCTGGAGTGCCAGAGGACATGGTCTAACTTCAGGGAGAAAACAAAGAGGGAAAAACCCCAAATGTGGTTTCTCAATCCTGAGAAAGGGTTTCTCAACCCTTTACAGTGTCCTCAGCGAGTGTGGAGTGGAGCCTTTTTTATTTTAACCTTCCTTCCAGTGAGAGAAAAGTTCCAGCTTTTCTTTTCCAGGTGAGCAGTAGAATGGTCGGACAATTCCTACCACAACCTGGTTGGAGTCAGCCCCCTTGGGAGGACCAAACCTCAGTCTCCTTGGCTGGACTTTCATCAGCCTTCTGCTGAAGTTCAGCATCGTGCATCTGGGCGTGCTTTGGGAAGGCAGGCGCTGGGGATGGGCCAGGGTAGTGCCCCATGAGCTTGCTTGGACTACCACGAACCTCCCAAGGAACAGTTCCAAAAATGACCTGGCAGTGTCTCTGCTTGTCCTTGGTTGACACACCAGCTTACAGATATATCCACTACTGTCACCATCCACTTGTGTTATTTTTGAGTGGGGGATTTCTTGAGTCGGATCCAAAGCTGTTCTGGAATTGCATCTCAAATATGCAGTCGTTTATGGCTTCCATAGCCGGAGAATGAGGAGCTATAAATACTGGCATGTTTGCTTTTTATTTCTGGCTTTTATCATTTGGATCGAAATCATGGGTCTCTCTGGGCCTCAGTTTACCTGTTGGGGGGGAGTGGATGCTGTTGCATCCCTGCAGGTGAGCATGGAGGTGTGAAAAAAAAAAAGGGGGTTGTGTGTGAAAGGTTTGAGGTGTAAACTTTTGCTTTTTGAGGCATTTGAGTGAGGTGCTGATTGGGTGACGGGCTGGCTACTGTGTGCTTCGCAGCCCTCGGGTGCCTTCTGTCAACAGTTTTGTTGGACTGGAGTAGGACCCAGTGATTTTTTCTTTTTTTTCAGGGGGAGAGTGAAGAACAAGGAACGCTCGTGGTTGCCACCCCAACCATCAGACTGGAAGTCTATACTGGGTTCTGCTATTTGGTGTCCCTGTGGTAGTGGGGTGGTGGTACCTCCATGGCCTGTCCAGCTCTTGCTCATCTCTTTCTGTTTTCAGGCAGAGACTCTGCAGAGTGACAGCCACAGAGCTGGCCAGATTTCATTTGCATTCTTGAATCCTGGCTGGTGCCACCTCTATCCATCATTCCTTGCTCTCCACTGTGTCCTCTCCACCATCAGCGATGCACGTAGAGCTTGGCGTGCTTTGATGCTGCTCAAACTCTTCTCACAGTGCCTCGATTTACTGGTTTTTTTTAAAATTCTTTTTCTTTTTTAATGCTGCCTCCAGCTGCAATTAAAGCCACTTCTGCCTCTCTCCTGCAGGTTTTAAGGAGACAGCCTTCCTGTACGCTATCTCCTCCGCGGGGTTGACACATGCCATGGCCAAGGCGTGCAGCGCGGGGCGGATGGAGCGTTGCACCTGCGACGAGGCCCCCGACCTGGAGAACCGTGAGGCTTGGCAGTGGGGCGGCTGCGGCGACAACCTGAAGTACAGCAACAAGTTTGTCAAGGAGTTCCTGGGGAGGAAGCCCAACAAGGACCTGCGAGCCAGGGTGGACTTCCACAATAATCTTGTGGGCATGAAGGTGCGTTGCAGGCTTCTGAAGGTGGGGGTTCAAGCTGTTGTGGGGTTTGTGGAGATAATAAGCTACTGCACTTGGGTGTGGAAACAGGGGTGTTGGATACAAAACGCATGGAGTGATCCTTCTGCTGGAGAGGTGAACTGGCAGTTATGGGACTACATCCTGTTCTTCTCACTGTGCTTCAAGAGTTGTGCAAAACCAGAGGGAGAGAATCAGGACTGTCCAGGTCTAGAAGACATGAGCTTGGGGGAAAGATTGCTGGCTTTCCACAGGGAGGAGAGGGTCTTACACTGCACAGGGATGGAAAGGAAGGTTCTCCAGGCTCATGCGAGGCAGGACAAGGAGGAAAGGATTTACACTGCTGCAAGACAGGTTGATGGATGCTTATCATAGAATCCTAGGTTGGAAGGGACCTCAAGGATCATCTAGTCCAACCTTTCTAGGTAAAAGCACAGTCTAGATAGATGACCCAGCACACCTTTTCTTGCGGTAGTTCAGTAGAGCATGGACGGTGTAGCATCTTTATAACCAGGTTTCTTTAAAACTGTCCGGACAAACACCTGGCAGGGAGGAACCAGGGTGGAGATATTCCTTTTTGACTGACCTCAGTCCTAAAGTCCCTTCAAGCCTTATTTTCTGGCAGCCTTCCACTCTGCCTAGTGATGCTGGGTTTGCAGCTGACAGTGCTTGGGTGTGTTGTCCCTCCCTTTTTTTTTTTTTTTTATTTTTTCTTTTCCCATCATTATCCTCTCAGCTAGAAGGCTTTGTGCTCTTTACCCCATGTTCCTCCCACGAGGCTTTGCCCTCCTGCCTGGGGGCCTCCCTGCAAGGCTGATGTGAAGGACAAAGTGCCTGCAATTGCTGGGTCATCCCAGAAAGAGAGGGAAGAGGAAGGGGCTTTCCACCTTCTCCCATAATCTGCTTGGCTGTACCTAGCCTAGAGTTGCTCAAACACGAAAATCCCTCAGATTGGCCAGCACAGGTGCCTAGGATCAGTGTTTCATTGCACCAACCTCGAAGGGGGACATACTGTAAGGTTATAAATAGCCTTCGAGCCTTATTATTGTCAGTGTGATTGGATGGAGGGTTGGGGCTGGGATGGGGGACCTGGGTCTCCAGTTTCCCAGGCAAATGCAGCCCAGCCAGTTGTGCATTCTAGGAATCGCCACCCCAGCTCAGTTGTTCCTGTGCATATGCACAAAATGTCATTCCTCACAACAGAATTGGGGCATCGGAGAATGCCACCAGCGAGGGCTGGCCAGCAAAACGTCTCCCCCGCTCCCCACCACCAGATGCTCCTAGACAGTGCTGAGATCAGGATTAGAAATATCCTGGATTTAGCTGGTGTCTGGCTTTGGCTGACAGCTTTTCTGCCTCTGGATTAAAAGGCTCAGTGCCTCTGAACTCCTGTTGCAGCTCTTTGGTGTGTGAAACAGGCTTTGCAGGGTGATGAAATTTGTTTTAATCCTTGCGGTTGGTTGTTCCCAAGGGCCTGTCCCAACTCTTTGGAGTTGGCTGTGTAGCAGGTGGGACTAAAAAGGCTGAAGGTGGTCCATGATTTCATGCTGGAGATTTCTGTGAGATGTCCCTGCTCTCCTCCTTTTCCAGAGTCATATAATACAGTCTTGTCAAAACCTACAAGCAGTGGCTTTAGGTGACATTGCCATGTTCTTGTAGCTCCATGAATATCTCCCCTCCAGCAGTGGTGGGGCTAAAAAACTTGCCCAAGGGACTTGACCTAACTCCCAGTGCTCTCCACCCCAGTAGCTGCAGTCAAGGTGCCCATATGGCTGAGACTCAATCTTGGATTTCAGTTAGGTATCCTTATTTATCATCTCTGCTCTACCTTGTCTATGTGACTTTGAGCTAAACAAACTCCAAGGATGAGCTGGAGAGAGTGAATCTCCCCTTTCTGCCTGCCCTTTCCTCTCCCCATCTCACTGTGAGCTAGTTCCTAGGGGAAGGGGAGATGGCAAGGACTCTCTTGCATCCTCTGCCTCCACTTCACTTGGCACGGTCAGGCTCTGGTCATTGGCAGTGATTTCTAAGCTCTAGTGTAATATCTGCAGCTAAACAGCTGAGTAACAGTTGTGACGGTTGTCCAGACACTCTGAGAGCCCTCATGGCAATCCAAGTCAAAGACCTTTGCTGCAGGTCAGTGATCCGGTGTTCCTATTTTTGTCCACCCACACCATGTCTGTCGAGTTGGTATTGCTGTCTGACAGCCTTCCTTGCCTGTTTGCAGCAGCCGTTGAAACGACTTCTCTGTTTATGCTCGTAGAATAATTGTACCTTAGTCTGGTTGAAGGGCAAGCCAAGCAGCCCACCAGATTCACAACACCACCATGAAGCCAGGCAGAGAGCAAGCAAACTGCATGTGGAGAAGGAAGATTTTAGAAGGGTGGTGGTTCATGATCAGAAGAACATACGTCTGTATAGTCAGGATATGTGGACCTAAACCATTGGCACAGTATGGTGGCATTAGGAAGATGATGAGAGGTGTGTGAGTCAGAGATGAGGACCCAGGCTGGCTTTGTAATCGCAAGGTCAAGACTTGCAAATCTTCCTTAAGATTTCAAATTATTGGAACCAATTTGAAGCCTGAGCATTGAACTTCTTGGTGTGGCTGGTGGATTTTTCTCTGACCTTGCTTACAACTGGGTGTAGATTAATATGAGGTTCAATCTGCTGCTTTCCTCCTGGTCCTGCTGCCGGTGCAGCGTTGGTGGAGGATGAGAGTTGCTCAGCAGGCAGTACTAGGTTCCCTTGCTGAATTTATTGATATGTTCCTTGATGAAGGTAGTGGGTTAAATGTGGAACTCAGCAGTTTCCTCTACTTGTCTTTCTCCAAAGAAGCTGCCCATCAACTAACTGCTGCCTTACAGACTTTCCAACCATTGACTAGCAAGAGATGCTAACCTGGCGGCTATGACGGTCTGAAACCACTTTGGACCAACCTCGTTTGGTTATTTGGGCAATAACTCATACGTGTTTGATTTGATGTGAGCCAAAGGCAATATAGGAATGCAAGATAGCCTTGGTTTGTGCCATTTTGGAACCAAACCATTTTGAATTGGAGCACTCATATAAGATGCTCTTATGGCCTCTAATGTGTTAAATGTCCCTGTGAGTTCCAAAAAGATGATTATGGCCACTTTGAGCAGGAGCTGAGATGCAAACTGAATGCCTTTCCTGAGGTTACGCAGCAAGCCGATGACGGAGCAGGAGACTGAAGCCAGTTCTGAATTCCTGCTCAGCACCCAGTGTGTTTTTTCCTCTAACCAAACCGCAGATTTTACGTCTATTAGCGAAGCCATAGATGCATGAACCGAAACCTTTGCTGCTGTACTGCAGACTGCTTTGGACTGGGCTAAGAATGGACAAAGAGACTTTCTTTTCCAGTTCTATGTTTTGCTACGGGAGCTTGCTGCAGTGCCAGCCGATGTTGGTGTACTTACAGTGTATGTATGGGTGTGCGTGTGTGTTCGCTGATGGAGTGGAGCAATATCTATTAAAGATACAGTACAAGCTTGGTGGTCTCTCACTGATTCTTAACAACATATAATCCTTCCCATCTAATTACTCCCAACCATGGCAAAGTGGTCCCTTAAGACCCAGCAAAAAAAGGACCTGTGCTGAACTGACTGATTTGGCAACCAACCCTATACCCTTCTGGCCAACACAGCAGTTTCTCCATGTTGTCACACTAATAAATAATCTGCGTATTTCTGCGAGGGTGACATTATCCCATCCCGCCTAGTTTTAGTGTCACTTGGTAGACGTTCTCATTTAATTATTATTTTACTTCTGTTTTTTACAACCTTGATGGGCCGACTGTAATTTTGCTGCCACCAATGAAATAATCACTGAACATGTTGTGCCCGTGATGGCTCACAAAGTTATATGATATGACCTCAATCGCTAATGAAAGGGTGAGCTTGTCTAGTGTGAGGATGAGGTAATTAGACCAGGACTTCTGCAGCCTTCTCTTTATTGAAAAGTAGGAGCGCTGAATAGACCACTTATTAAAAAAGCAATTTCCCTTCCTTTGCCAAATCTGCTCTCGCTCATTCAGCTATTCTTTCAGAGGGGTCTTGGGTGGAGAGGGTGTGTGTTGGGGGGAGATGTGTGTATGCGTCAAGGGGATGGGGGGCGGCGGTGGTGAGAGAAGTCAACTGTATTAAAGCTCCATTGCCAGCAATGAAGTTTCTGGGTTATATTAAATGAAGCACAGGCAGCCTTGCTAAAGCTCTCTTCTTCTCTATATCCCCCCCCTTTCTCCCCCCCCCCTTGTACACACAAGTGCAGCCCTCTTTTGTAACCCATTAATGAAAAGTCGGAATATTAGAGCACTCAATTAGTTCCACTGGGCTTGAGTAAGTGATGTTTTAATTAAATTTGCCCAGTTTCTCAGCAAAGTATCATTAAACATGACTTTCCAACTCCCTCTCTGGAGCGTTGCTAAGTTTCTTAATCCCAGGAGTGCTGACCTCTTCCAGAGGTATGTCTGGTCAAGCATGTCTTACAGATCCAAGGGGCACTATTAAAGGGGCCTGCTGTTACCCAAGGCAAAAAAAAAAAAAATAAAAAATTATCATGTTCTCATTCCCTTTTCCCTTTATCCTTCCAGAAGGAGGGACAGAAGCAAGCCTTTGCCTTCAGGACCCTGAAGTCAAGGGTATAATCACAGTCTCCTTGAGAGCCAAGAGTGCAAAACTGTGGAAAAATGGAGAACAAGAAAATCCCCCCCTCCTTCCCACTCCGAGAGGTCTCCCTTTAGGCAATATCCCCCTTTGAAACTGGTTCCCTTTGTGAGGCTTCCTTAATTGTTTTTTGCACAACAACCACCCATATGTTTTGGTCTGTGCAGATGATATGCATGGTTCTGAAGGTTCCTTGTCACCCTGGTTGCTGTAGGATTCATGTCCAGACCCATCCTGAGACACGTTATGCCTACATCTCTGAAACCATATTGGATGCTCTGGGAAGATAGTGGGTGGTGC